CATATTTGCTAACACCTCAATTGCATCAGTGATGTTTTCTTCAGTTGCTACATTGTGCATGATTTATTGGCACAGATCTTTCCCTTCAACATGCCCCATAAGAAGAAGTCTGGGGGAATGAGATCTGGAGACCTCAGGGCTATAGTCCTTTGTGCTCAAGCGCGTACATGTTTTTCACACCAAGACTGGCTATGAACTGAGCATATCAGAGTGGGGGAACGTGATGTCAGAAGTTGATGCCGAGTGCTATAGCAGTTGCTATATGGTGTCACGCAGGCAAGACATGCCGGAGCCGTGTTGCATTTACACACGTCTCCATCCATGTTGGTACTCCTGTAGTTGCAACCGTCTTGTTTGTATATTATGTCTGCAGTAAGCGATAACTCTGGGTCTCCTACAAGTAAAACACCTTGTATATAATACATGTACAGTGGTCCCTCGATAATTGTAAGGCTCAATAGTCAAAATTTTCGGAAATTGTAACGTTATTTTCGTCAAAACATTGGCTCGCGAATCGTCGTTTCACTCGCAAATAGTTGTTCGACACTACACCTCTCGTGACATACATGACTTATTTTATTCATTCTAGACTATATTCCATGTTTCTATGTTATTAATATTGTGTATTATGTCATATTAGTTGAATTGTGATAGATAAATAAGCTGTAGAGTTGATATTAGTGTCATATTCTCCAACAATAAACTCGCCATCCCTCCCTCACACAAACAAGTCTTCAAAACAGTTAAGTGTGATGTTAAATAAGAACATAAGAACCTAAGGAATTAGGAACACTGCAACAGGCCTGCTGGCCCATACTAGGCAGGTTCTTCACAAATCCAACCCATTAACAGAACAAACGCTACCCAAGCAATAAGCTCAGGTGCAAGTCCGACTCAAATCCAACCCCTCTCACTCATGTATTTATACAACCTAAATTTGCAACTACCCAAACCATAACTTTTAGAACATAAGAAAGGAGGAGCACTGCAATAGGCCTGTTGGCCCAAACTAGTCAGGTTCTTCACAAATCCAACCCACTAACAGCATAACTGCTACCCAGGCAATAAGCCTAGATAATTCTATTTACTCATGTGCAAGCCCAATTCAAATCCAACCCCTCTCACTCATGTATTTATCCAACCTAAATTTGAAACTACCCAATGTTTTAGCTTCGATCACCCTACTAGGCAGACCGTTCCACTCATCAACTACCCCTATTACCAATGTTTATTTATACATTTTATTAGTGCTTTACATTTATTTGGCATTCTTTTCTGCAAGTAAATCTATATTTAAGCTAGGGAAGTGACCCCTGAAGTGACCTAGAGTCCTTATGGAGGGGGATTCCACATGTTGAATGTTCATTTTGTGCATGTAAATCTATCTTTAAGGTAAAAAAAAAATTATTGTTGATACTTCTGGGTGTCTGGAACATATTAATTGGATTTACATTATTTCTTATGGGGAAAATGGATTAAAAAATCGTCAATTTCGATAACAGTCACACGGATTAATTACGAAAAACGAGGGACCACTGTAATGACTTCAATAGAAAAACTTTGAAGAATGTGTTAAGCCTAGAGAAAAATAGTTCTAAAGTCTGGCAACATTTTGGTGTAAATCTCATCTTCATACAATGTTACTACAGCAAATTATAGTAACTACATTTGATATGATGACATAATAGGTAATACATTCCCACACACATGAATTTACGGTATTTTTTCCTATTTTTTAGATTTTGTTTTTTGGTTAATTTATGAAAATCACCATTTGGTATCATTACAAAGTGAGGAAGAATTAAGCAAGTGTCTCACTAGTGGTGAACTTGCAATGATGGAGGAAGGATGTCACTCCTAGGTGCTATAAATGTCATATATTTACACCAATACTGATATTTTTATTAATCCATCTATCACGTTTTCCAAAATTATATATGACATACGATATATAACATACCAACATAATACAGACAACGAAATGAGAAAAAACCGACAATGCATGGAGTGGTTGGCAGCAGAGTATAATACTGTTTACCACTACTGATTATAATAGAACATAGTGTGAATATTACTGGATGTAATTGTGAGAAACACTCCGCTCTTATGACTTTACTCATAAATAGCATCAGTCTCTCAAAAAAAGAAAATATTTGCTCACAAGCAATATGCTTTTTTGAATTTTCCTTGAGTATCTTGAAAGTAGGGAGGAGAGATTGGTGGAATGATGTAAAGAGAGTAGTAAGAGAGAAAAAGTTAGCATATGAGAGCTTTTTACAAAGTAGAAATGATGCAAGGAGGGAAGAGTATATGGAGAGAAATAGAGAGGAGTATATGGAGAAAAAAGAGAGCAAATGAGAGTGGGTGAGATGTTATCAACAAATTTTGTTGAAAATAAAAAAAAGTTTTGGAGTGAGATTAATTAGCTGAGAAAGCCTAGGGAACAAATGGGTCTGTTAGTTAAGAGTAGGGAAGGAGAGTTATTAAACAGAGAGTTAGAGGTATCGGGAAGATGGAGGGAATATTTTGAGGAATTGTTAAATTTTGATGAAGATAGGGAAGCCGTGATTTAGGAGTGAGGAAGAATCAGTTGTGAGTGTGGGGGAAATGCATGGGGCAGTGGGTAGAATGAAAGGGGGTAAAGCAGCTGGGATTGAAGGGATAAAGAAAGAAACCTTAAAAGAAGATGCAGATATAGTTTTGGAGTGGTTAGTGTTTTTATTAAAGAAATGTATGGAAGAGGGTAAGGTACTTAGGGACTGGGAGAGAGCATGCGTAGTTCCTTTATATAAAGGCAAAGGAGACAAAAGTGTGTAAAAATTATAGAGGAATAAGTGTGTTGAATACACCTGGTAAAGTATGGTAGAGTTATTAGTGAAAGAATTAAGAGTAAGATGGAGAGCAGAATAGCAGATAAACAAGAAGGTTTTAGAAAGGGTAGGGGGGTGTGTAGACCAAGTGTTTGTAGTGAACACATAGGTCAGAGGTCGGCAACCCCCAGCCCACAGGCCACATCTGGCCCGCAAGAGGTTTTCCTTCGGCCCGCCAACTTAACACCTGGACATTAACCCTTTCAAGGTCGCCAGGCCCTCTCCGAGACTTGTTCTCAGGGTCGCCCAAATTTCATAAAAAAAAAAATTTATTTTTTTCTTATGAAAAGAAAGAGAATTTTTTCCCGATCATAATGACACCAAAAGAACAAAATCTGATGGAAAACTTACGGAATTATGCTCTCGCGAAGTTAGCAGTCTAAACGATGTTTACGTATCGGCGATTTTGCCCACTTTTTAGCTCTATTTTCAGCCAATTCCAGTGTACTAGTCGACAAAAATCATAACTATTTCGCTAGAACTCCATTTTTTCTATTGAATGAGTACAAGAAACCACCCATTTACCAATTTCAACTATCCAATAAAGTGGTCAGAATTTAGCAATTTTGCCAATTTCACACGAAGTTCATAAGAAGCCAATTTCTGAATAGGGTCCAGAATAAACAAGAAAGACATTCCTGGCACTAAAATAACAAGTTCTCTGTTCGTTAGTCACATCCCCAGGCCCCTCTTATATTTCTTTGGCTTTCCACTTTGAATTTTTATTCTTAAAAAAAATAGAAGATTTACTGTTATCCAGACTACTGCATTAGTGTAAAAATGGTATAAATAATATCAGCGCACTTGTGAAAGAATATTAGACTCACCAGTTGACGTGTATTGGATGCGTGGCATGATTTGTTTACTTTTGAACTTTGGTAAAAATCGAACATTTCTGCTACTTTCTCAATTTCAAGGTACAGTACTTTTCATTGTAAAACCAGTCAAAATCATCTCAATTTCTGTAATATGTCTTCCATTCTATAAAATGAGAACAGGAAAACTAGAATACAACCATAAATACAATACGAAAATGCAGTGCAAAGTCGCTGTTTTAATCCAAAAACACGGTTGAAGTTTTTTTTCTCATTACGCACTCTGTGCTGCAGGATTTTTTTTATACTGCGCACACTGACCACATAGACCCATTCTTTCATATGTAGGCCTACCAGCTTTCTCTCACTAGATTTGAGGGCGCTAGAATTTAGGCGTACTAGTACGTCAAAAAACCTGGGGCGTAAGCCGTACTAGTATGGCCGAAACCCTGAAATGGTTAAAAGAAAAGATGGTTATTGTGCCCATGCTGGTAGTGGATGGCTGTGGGTTGTGTGCTGATGAGATTAGCTGATACACTTCTCACTCATATTTCCTTAACCTATTTTTAAAGCCACCCAAATAACTGAAGCTTTAAAAATAAGTTAGACAAATATGCGAGAATGGAGGAACGAATCTGAGGACCTGCCTAAAACAGGTCAGTAAGCTTACTGCAGTGTTCCTCTAATCTTATGAAGTAAAATATGTCTATTTCAACGTTCTTAGAAATCATCAGTACTTCAGACTTCTTCTTGGCACCTTAAACATCACTATTATTCTATTTGGGTACCATGGTTAATATCTAGATATGAGATGGTGATGATATCTAAAAATGTTTGGTGAACACACCAAGTCAATCATGACATTTCCAATTGTTGGCAGTGTAGGTAGTCTGACAACAAGGGGTGATGCCAGGCTTCCCTTACAAACAACACCCTCACCTGTTAGGCTCAAGTTACTGTGACATGAAAAAATACCCACCAGAGACCTGCTATGGTCTTAGCACATCACCCGCCAGCCTTCCGTGAATTACATCACCAATTCTTAGGGAATTTCCAACAAAAGTCAATTATGATTGAGTTTTCAATCATGCAATACTGAATTCATGTTTTTATGCATTGTGGTAATCAAGGGTATACTGTATCATGAAATACATTCATGATATACATCTGCACAAACTAATTCCTAAATATACAGGTAAGAAAATGAATTTTCCAGATAACACAAAAGGCAAATTTATATTTGGGAAGAGTAACTACAGTATAATGTACATAAGTTCAGTAGATGCTCATGACATGCAATAAAACTGTGACTTACATTTCTGATGGGCTGGAACTGGTTCAGGTGATGGGTCTCATCATCGTCAACATCAACACTGAACAAAAAATACAATTGTTAATACAGATAAACAGAATGCTGATATTAAAAGACATAAGTATGTGTGAGAACAAGACTGGGAGTATGGACAGCTCCTCACATAACAGTTCACTGTGCTGCCTGAGTAATTACAGTGGACCCCCGGTTAACGATATTTTTTCACTCCAGAAGTATGTTCAGGTGCCAGTACTGACCGAATTTGTTCCCATAAGGAATATTGTGAAGTAGATTAGTCCATTTCAGACCCCCAAACATACACGTACAAACGCACTTACATAAATACACTTACATAATTGGTCGCATTCGGAGGTGATCGTTATGCGGGGGTCCACTGTTTATTGTTGTGTACGTCTTGCTCCAGCCTGCAAATGGCAGCAAAAAAAAAAAAAAAAAAAAATCAGCAATACTGAGGTCACAATAAGAATCTTTGTTAATCAACCATATTTTCCAGTAAATGTCCTACCATGAAAATTTTTCAGAATACGAACCGCCATTCAGTCGATTTTTTTGCTTCTGGATATGAATGAAATCTCAGGATGCGAACTTCCCCCTCAAGGGATGTTCCTTAAATAAATAAATAAATAAAATATTTATTTCATTGCAAGGGTTACAATGTGTGTTTACATATCATAATATGATTAGAGCAAAGAAGGCCACTATCATGCTGAGGCATTTCAGGAAGACTTAACCTAATACTAACAGACTACTAAGTTTACACAAGTGAAAAGTGTACTAGTAGTGGTTACCAACGTTTTGCTCATAGTGGCGCCAACTACTGCCATCCTTCTGAATTTTCTCCTTACTGTTATTATTATTATTATTATTATTATTATTATTATATTGTACAGTGGACCCCCAGTTTACGATATTATTTCATTCCAGAAGTATGTTCAGGTGCCAGTACTGACCGAATTTGTTCCCATAAGGAATATTGTGAATTAGATTAGTCCATTTCAGACCCCCAAATATACACATACAAACGTACTTACATAAATACACTTACATAATTGGTCGCACTGGGAGCTGATCGTAAACCGGGGGTCCACTGTATTATTATTATTATTGTTGTAATTATTATTATTATTAGTATGTACATGGTGATGGGCTCTTGATCTAGGGAATTGAATCTGTGTTCCAGTTCCCTAAATCAATAATAATAATAATTATAATACATATGTATTAATAATAATAATAATAATAATAGTAATAATATATACATACTAAGAAAAATAATAATTATAAAAATAATAATAATAATAAAAATAATAATAATAATAATAATAATAATACAATAGTAATAATAATATGTCATTTTTAGGCATTTTTCATAATTTTTTTCATATTTTTGTGCCAAACGCTTCAAAATACGTACAAATTAGTAAACCTCTGGGTGGCTGTAGGTACTTCTAGACCACAGCTATCTCAGTGCCAACCAAGGGTCAAAAGGAAGAGGTGTGCCGCTCTGAGTGACCGCAGCAGACCCTTGGGATGCGTAATTTTGTCTTATACTACAGTGGACCCTCGAGTTTTTCGAACCTACCAACTATCGAACATTTCAAGTTTTGACCACTTTTTTCTAATCAATTTTGTTCCGAGTATTGAACTCTACCCGTCTTTCGAACTGCCAGGTACCGGACCTGTCAGCCAGCCCACTCTGACCTCATCCCCTCGTGAGCCAGTCTGGCTTTGTTGATGCTTAAGTGAACACTAACCTGCTGCTCATTTAAACATTTCACAATTAATTCATAGTGTTCGGTGCTTGTTTACTGTGACTGTGAAATAGGCTATCATGGAGTGATGGTAGATGGTATTGGTGGATGGTGGTGGTGGTGGTGGTGGATGGTGGTGGTGCATGGTAGTGGTGGATGGCAGTGGTGGACGTTGGGGGGGGTGTGGGGGTTGGGGGTTTTATTTTTTTGGTAAATTTTAATTGGTGGGGGTGGGGGGTTATGATTGGGGGGGGGTTGGGGGGTTGGTTTTTTTTTTTTTTGGGGGTTTTTTTTTTGTTTTTTTGGGGGTTGTTTTTTTTTTTTTTATTTTTGGTTTTTGGGGGGTTTTTGGGTTTTTTTTTTTTTTGGGGGGGTTTTTTGGTTGGGTGGTTGGTTTGGGTTGGTGGGGGTGGGGGGGGTGGGGGGTTTGGTGGGGTGGGTGGTTTGGGGGGTTTTTGGTGGATGGTTTTGGTTTGGTTTGGGTTTTGGGTTTTTAAATTTGGGGGTGGGGGGGTGGTTGGGGGTGGTGGGTTTGGATTTTGGGGGAGGTTTGGGGGTTTGGGGGGTTGGGGGGGAGGGGTGGGGGAATTGGTATTTTTTTTTTGGGGTGGGGGGGGGGTTTTGGGGGTGGGGGGGTTGGTTATGGGGGGGGTGGGTGGTTTGGTGGTGGTTTGGGGGTGGGGTGGATGGTGGGTGGGGGGGATGGTGGGGTTGGGGGGGATGGGGGGTGGTGGAGGTGGGTGGTGGATGGGTGGTGGGGGTGGTGGGGGGGGTGGTGGTGGTGGGGGTTGTGGTGGTGGGGTGGTGGGGTGGTGGGGGTGGTGGTGGGGGGGGTGGGGGGTGGTGGGTGGTGGGTGGTGGTGGTGGGTGGTGGGGGGGGTGGTGGTGGTGGGGGGTGGGGGTGGGTTGGTTGGGGTGGGGGTGGTGGTGGGGGGGGGGTGGTGGTGGGGGTGGGGGTGGGGGTGGTGGGTGGGGTGGGTGGGGGGGGGGGTGGGGGTGGTGGTGGGTGGGGGTGGTGGGGGGTGGTGGAGGGGTGGTGGTGGTGGGGGGTTGGGGGGGTGGTGGTGGTGGTGGGGTTTTTTGGTGGGGGGTGGTGGTGGGTGGTGGGGGGGGTGGTGGGGGTGGGGGGTGGTGGTGGATTGGGGGTTGGGGGGAAATGGGGGGTGGGGTGGGGTGGGGGGGGGGAAGGGGGTGGTGGTGGTGGTGGTGGGGTGGGGGGGGGTGGTGGTGGTGGGGATGGTGGGGTGGGGGGTGTGGGGTGGTGGTGGGTGTGGTGGTGGGGGGGGTGGTGGTGGTGGTGGTGGTGGTGGGGGGTGGTGGGTGGATGGTGGGGGTTTGGGGGGGGTGGTGGGGTGGAGGGGTGGTTGGTGGTGGTGGTGGTGGTGGTGGTGGGGATGGTGGTGGTGGATTGGTGGTGGGGGGTGGGGGGTGGTGGGGGTGGTGGGGGGGTTTGGTGGTGTGGTGGTGGGGGTGGATGGTGGTGGGGGGGGATGGTGGTGGGTGTGGGGTGGTGGATGGTGGTGGGGGGGTTTTAGGTGGGGGGGTGGTGGGGGAGGTGGTGGTGGTGGGTGGTGGGGTGGTGGGGGTTTGGTTTGGTGGGGGGGGGGGGGTTGGTGGTGGGGGGGTGTGGGGGGTGGTGGTGGTGGGTGGGGGTTTGGGGGTGGTGGTGGGGGGGGTGGTGGTGGGGTGGTGTGGGGGGTGGTGGTGGGGTGGGGGTGGTGGGGGGGGTGGTGGTGGTGGGGGGGGTTGGGTGGGGGGTGGTGGGGGGTGGGGGTGGGTGGGGTGGTGGGTGGTGGGGGGTGGGTGGGGGGTGGGTTGGTGGTGGGTGGTGGGGGTTGGGGGGGGGTGGGGAGGGTTTGGGGGGTGGAGGGTTGGTGGTGGTGGTGGTGGGTGGAGGGGTGGTGGTGGGGGGTGGGGTGGTGGATGGTGGTGGTGGTGGATGGTGGTGGGGGGGGGGTGGGGGGTGGGGGGTGGTGGTGGGTGGGGGGTGGGGGGTGGTGGTGGGGTGGGGTGGGTGGGGTGGTGGGGGATGGTGGTGGTGGTGGATGGTGGTGGGGGTGGGGGGGGTGGTGGTGGTGGTGGTGGGTGGTGGTGGGGGTGGTGGGGTGGGTGGTGGTGGTGGTGGGGGTGGTGGGGGGGGTGGTGGTGGGTGGGGGGGGTTGGTGGTGGGTGGTGGTGGGGGTGGTGGTGGGGGTGGGGTGGTGGTGGTGGGTGGTGGGTACTGCTGACCCGGCCTTTAGCGGGTAAGTTCCTGAGTCCCCTCAGGGGCCCACTTTAACCCGTAGGAACCTGACCCCCAAAGGGGTACGGTTACTGGTTTTAGTAACAGTATGTACCTGAGGCCTCGGGGTAGGGAAACCTAAGCAGTAGGTACCTGAACACCAAAGGGTACACGTTTTTTGGGTTTCGCAAACTTTTAAGTACCTGAATCCTGGGGTTTCACATCTACGCATTTAGGTACCTGAACCCTAATGTACCTATCTACGGGGGTTAGAAAAACCCGCTCCCGCAGCTCACTGGTCTTTTGGGCCCTTTAGTTACTTGACGGCCGCTTCAGTGAGTTGCGCATGGTGTTCGGCTAGCGGGTGGTAAACCGGCTTTGGAGGGGATTTATGGACTCCCGGTGAGGGTCTTTTGGGACTCACCGTCTACGTTGATCAACTTTTGGGGCCGGAATTCAGTTTGCTGTTTAGGGGAAACATTACATGAAAAAAAGGGGTTGGGAAAGTGTTACACTGAACGGGGCCCAGGCCCCTAGTGGACATTTTGGAAGTAGGGATGGGGGGAAAACCTGAGATAGCACGGGAAGGTAGTGGAACACTGGGGATAAAAAAGGGGGGCGGGGGAAACACTGAAGATGGGGGGTTTTGTAGTGTACACTGAATAGTGCCCATGTGACGGGTCTCGTGTCGTGAGAAAGCAGTTGATTGAAATTTTATTATTTTTAAAAAAAGTTTTTTTATTTTTTTTATTTTTTAGCAAGAGTTTATATATATAAAAGTACCCCATTTGTGTAAAAGAGTTGTCCCCTGTGTAGGGTTTATAAAATTATTTTTTATTTTAGAAAAAATGCTGATTTTATAATTTTTTTAGAACATGTCTATTATATATCATAGTTCAAATACCTCTAGACCCAAAAATTGTTGATTAAAAATTAATTTATTTTAATCTGTGTTTTATGTATCCCGAATTTTGTATTACAAAAGGAGTAAATCTTAATACCCTCTTTTAAAAAATTTTTTTTTTTTTTAAAGTGGAAAGGTGGGGGGGGGGTGGTGGTGGTGGTGGT